CAAGACCTTGTGGGCGCTCCATGAAATTGCTCAGCAATGGCAAACCACCTCTGCTTCTCATTTGCCTTGAAAGCCCCTTGCTGGGTGGCCTTACATTGGAAGCTAAGCAGCCTCAGTACTTGGATGGGAGACCAACAAGGAAGGCTCTGCAGAGGAAGGCCGTGGCAAACTGCCTCTGCTTTTCACTTGCCTTGAAAGCCCCTTCCGGGGGTGGCCATAAGCTGGAAGCTAAGCAGGGCCTGTACTTGAATGGGAGACCACCAAGGAAAGCTCTGCAGAGGAAGGCCATGGCAAACCACCTCTGCTGCTCACTTGCCTTGAAAGCCCCTTCCTGGGGTGGCCATATGTTGGAAGCTAAGCAGGCTCAGTATTTGGATGGGAGACCACCAAGGAAGACTCTGCAGAGGAAGCTGATGGCAAAGCACTTCTGCTTCTCACTCACCTTGAAAGCCCCTTGCTGGGGGGTCGTGGTTGTGACCTGACAGCACTTGATGGTACCCTTTAAATCCATCCTTTCTCTCCAGTCACCATTCAGCACCAAAGGGGGCGGATGGACGAAGGAACAAGCATACAGATCGGCTTTCCCTCCCCACCTTTTGGGCTCCCACCATCCTTCTGGGCACTTTCCAAAAATCTGTCCCCTTTTCTTAAACAGTCCCTGTGGCTCTTTTGTTCTCCTCCAATGAAAACAACTAGCTGGGTCGGTGGACTCACCACGGATGAAGAGAGCCAGCAAGAGGCACAGCTGCAGAACCGAAGAGCTCATCCTTCCCGGCTTGGAGAGGGACCCCTGATGCGACCGCTCACTCATGCAGTGAACACCCACCGGAGACACGCTCTTCTATATGTGCCATGCTCATTTGCAAGCACTTGTGTACCCAGCCAATGGCTTTGCCAAGGCTTAGACCAGGGTTGTCGACCTCATTTGTGACGAGGGCCATATTTGACATAAATGAGACCTTATTGGGCCAGGCCACGTGAGTCATAAAATATAATGCCAGGTAGCGGAGATATAAACTTTATAAAGGACACACAAACACAAAGGTGGGTTTTTTTTAACTTAAAATAAAAACATGCTTAAAAATATAAGCACTCTTGCAATATTTTGTTTATTTAACAGTGTCTGGTAACTGACACCTCTCGCTCTGAATTGTTGCATCAAAATGTCTGTGCTGTTGCAATCCTGAGTATGCTGCTCAGGCGTGTATCTGTAAGCTGCAAACCGATGATGATGCAGCAGCAGCAGAACTGGAAGAAGAAGCAGAAGACAGCCAGGTCCACTGTGGGCCTGATAGAAGCCCTCTGTGGGCCTGATCCAGCCCCCGGGCCACATGTTTGACACCCCTGGCTTAGACAGTCTGCCTCGGCTATTGGTTGGCGGCAAACGTCTAAAGAATGATGGGAAATGAATACTAGTCGGGTATGGCCACACAGGGCGCTTAGCCACAGAGCAATGCCACAGAGTCCACCTTCTAAAGCATCAATTTTCTCCAGTGGAACTGATCTCTGTAGTCTGGAGATGAGCTGTGATTCCGGGGGATCCCCAGGTCCCACCTGGAGGCTGGCATCCCTACAGACTCACTCCCACGGGTGCCAAGACTTGCTGCCTCCTTTCATCTGGGCATCTCAGCTGCTGTTGCCCCACGCTTTGGCTTGAATAGGGAAGAGAACAACCTAGATAGAGCAGGATGCACTTTAAAAAAGCCCTTCGTGATGTGAAGGAGTGTAGCCCACGGCTCTTGATGTTAGGATGGCTGAAGGAAAACCACAGCCGACTCGACAAAAGCCATCAGGGCTGGTTTTCCGTTTAATCTTAGTTATTCAGTTAATATTTTTTTAATGTTGCCTTTCTACCCAACGCAGGTCCTTCAAGGCAGCAAACCGACGAAAACGTCCAAAATCGGCTTTAAAAAAACACGTGTGTAAAACAATTAAATGGAGCCGCGGTGGCTCAAG